TATTGATCAGCTCGTGATGTCGCGGAACTTATCATATGTTTAGGATATATGATTTTCATATCGGGACATGTATGCAACGCAGGTTACGATGTTGTCCGGAAGATCTAATTCGAACCAATGCTTCATTAGGGATAGTGTTTGACATGTGGGATCTCTCGGGTTTCTCGGTGGTCAGGTTATGGAGGGTTGGTATGGTTATTTACCATTTGTCATTCACTAGGAAATGGGATTTTATGAAATTTATCCTCAAAATTTCTTCCCAATAGAGAGAAAGGTTTTAATGTTTAATATTATTCTTTTTAATTTACGAAAATGTTTTCGTATTGCAAATTATGTTAGTGGTGTATTAGAAATTCTGTATTTATGCATATTATAGGAAATTGAAAGCTAAAGCAATTTTAAAGGTCTTCTTTTGTTACTGTTCGAATAGAACAAATATTGTTAAGAAATATGGTAAGTTTGTCAATTATTTCAGTACTGTAATTTGCATTCAAAAGTTTCTCTTCACAGAAGTTTTTCACTTATTAAGCATACTGAAAATGATTTGTCGTTATTAAATATTTTAAGTTTATTGGTGGTCAGTATTAAGAACATGTTGGTAAGCATTTTCTTATCATTGTAGACGTTCTTAATTTTTAGCTGAAACCTGACTTTTTATAACAGGAGTGAATTATAACATTGATATTTGAATATAAAAATGGAATTAAGTGATTTAGAGTTAATTTTTTCATGGGTATTTGCCGAGTTTTTTATCCACTGCTTTTATTATCATTTGGGATACGATCCAACACTACGTATCCAAAACCAAGAAATAATGCAATAAGTGCATATTATCTCTTTAATTCTGGATAAACTCTCTTCATTTGAAAATTTAGCGCTAATTTATGAGGCACTAAGTAAAGAAGCATAAGTGAGGTAAGGTACTTTTTTATTTAATGTGTGATAAAATTCTGAGTAAATTTTTGATCAACAAGATTTTAAGTTCATGATAGCTTGATCGGATCTTCTTCATTTAGCTGGAAATTGTCAGGTAGTTGTTAAACTTTTGTCCATAAAGAAAATTTGCACAACAGAAGTCCGGACTGAAACAGTATTCTCATGAAGATTTCGATTCTTCAGTAGGATTCGGGAAGTATAGCTTATGGCAGAGCAAAAAAATTGAATATTTGCTATCCTACTTTACAACTATTCGCGGCTTTTTTATAATTGTCATTCTGAAAACTAATAAAATACAGTAATAATTAATGATTCAAAACATGAAGTCCGAGATACAAAACGATTATTTTTAGCTCTCTCGTTTTGACATTGAAATAATAGAAATAAAGTGAAAAGGATAAAATTGTAACCAAGCTTTATTCATTTGATCTTTTTAGAGTGATTCAGTGGTAACAATTCGGACGAACAAGGTGATGACTAATCGCTTGTTGGCTAGGCGGCAAATGGTGAAAATTTATCATACTTTTAAATTTGTATTAGATCAAGTCGTTTTCTGAATTTTCCGTAGAAAAAAGAACAGACTGTTGTTACTCTTCATATGATTTAACCCCAACATTTTATGTTGTATTCGATAATCCCTTAAAGTTTAGCACTTCGATTGCAAGATTGAAAGCTTGAAAATATGCATGAGCAATAAGAATTGTTCCCCTTTTTCCTGTCACCGTTAAATCCGAAGCAAATTTGCCATACTCAAGCTTCTGATATTTTCATATCTTTGAGTATTAATCAAGATACGTTCTTCCTCGCATAATGTAACTTACATTCTTGTAAAAATCTTTTAATTTTTAGGTGGTCGAAATTCTTCATCCTAATCGAGCATCAGTTCCTAAAGTGGAAATTCGTGAAAAGTTAGCTCAAATGTACAAGACCACACCTGATTCGGTTTTTGCCTACGGTTTTCAATGTCACTTTGGTGGTGGAAGGAGTACTGGTTTTGCGCTAATCTATGACACAGCAGATTTTGCTAAAAAATTCGAACCAAAATATCGCTTGTTAAGAGTAAGTTCTTCTCCCAGTTTTACAGATCGGGAATTCGATGATGCTTAGCGCTTATTAGATTGACTTACACATTAATAAAGTTGTAGATTATAAGCTGGTATTAAGCTTGCTAAATTTTAAGAATGACTACAAGGTAGGTCAGGTGTTGGGAATAGGCAATTCTATCTACTAGGTTTTTTGATAATTACTACAACTTAGCAATACGAGGAGCTTAATACTTTGAAAAAAAAATTTTCGATAATGAGTTATCTCGGAGCTACCGCATGTTTAATATTGCATGTTTTATAGTCTCTATTCATCCAAATTAATAAATATGCTGACTTTAAAGTTTTCCAAGGCTTTTGTCTGTGCATTCATCAGTATGCGACATATATACATTTTTCTTAAGTGCAGCGATATATTTAAATCGGCATTTAAAGCAATCTTTTAAGCATACAGTAAAAACAGTTCTCTGTCTTCAGTTTTAGGAAGGAGTTGTGTCATAATTTGATTTAAAAATATGAGAGAAAATTGTTGGGTTTACAGCAAACGGGCACGAAAGCTGAGAAATCAGGTCGTAAACAACGTAAGGAGCGTAAGAACAGGCAAAAAAAAGTACGTGGAACAAAGAAGACTAAAGTTGCTGCAGGAAAGAAGTAATTTTACATGGGGTACTGTGGTATGATCAACTTTATTTTTTGTTAAAATTTCTTTCTGTTGGTCAAATTCATATAATATGCAGTAAACGAACTGGATACGCTCTGTGTTCTGCAATTCTGAGAATTTGGATTTTTTTTTTGGAATTCGTAGACACAGACACAACAGGCTAAACATTTATTTTAAGATTAGGAAATAGGTTATGACTTCGTTATTCGCGAAGCATCTTCATGTCACTCTCTGTTCTTGGTTTGCATCGCAGGATCTGGGAATGGATTAACAGCAACAAATTTGTATAGGAATATGCGTATTTAAAATTTCTTGTTCCTAATTCCGTAGCTTGGCCTTTATTTCTTACTTGAAGCCTTCTTCGTCCTTTGTCAACTTCAAGGTTATGGTTTCCTGGGATCAGTCCTGAACACTTGTATGAAGATATTTATGTTGGTGGGGTTTACGAGCCTCTGAAGAAATTTTGCATTGAAAGTATTAGCAAAGTATGGTGTATCTCCAGATTCCTGGAATGGAGATGTCAAACAGGTGAATCAGAGAATCCCTTTTCTCGGAACTTACATTACTTTTTATGAACTGAAAGTGTAGACAAATGAACATCCGTTTTTATTGAAAAGCAAAAAAGGTACCTGGATAACCCACTAAAACCATGTTATGGTATTTCACAGAGGCAGCAGCTTTGGCTATGATTTATGGACCAATATATGGCAAAGGTTTCGAGCGATTATGCTGGAATAACTGGACGAATCCCAAAAAAAAGATGGGAAGGTATACACATATTTATATAGTGTCAGAAAGGAGAAACAGCAAAGTTGACATTTTTTAGAGCACAAGAAGGAAATATAGATACCGAAAGTATGTTTAGCTGATTATTGAGTTTTGATCAAACTTCGGGAAAAAGACAAATCCAGTAGGAATTTGACATAGCAGTCACATATCCAACGTCTGACTCAATTACCACGCCGTATCAAACAGAAAGACATGCAATATTTAAGTGCAACTCTGCCCACTAATATCATTAATCGGAAAAGATCGCAGTAAAAATTGATGAAGAATAGATAATTGGGTTGGATTTGTTTCAAATTAAAGCAATTTAAAAATTTTCTCCAGAAGGGCGGCTTTTGTTGTATCGCTCAGATTTTTGTATTCTTCAGTCTGTTTGAGAGCTTTTATATCCGTTGGCTGTTTGAAGGTTCGCACACAAACGTCCTGAAATAGTTGAACCATTCATTGACTTAAGCTGAGTGAAATGACTGAAAAAGTTTTTCTTTGATTCTAAAATAGTACCACTCATAAAAAGCACACCTTAAGGAATTAAGCTTTCTCCAGAAGTTAAGACCGAATGGAATGAAAGACATCTATTTTATGAATATCGCATAATTCATAAGGCGACAGTCCAGATAAAAGACAAGACAAATCACTTACTGTTAAAAAAGCCTAGTGTGGTTATTTCGTCGTGGGGTGGTGGTGGTGGTGGTATCTTTCCCCCACTTTCTTCAGAGGTTTAGGTGGACCGAGAAAAGTCGACGCATTCATACATTTTAATAAATCTATCAGCAGCTAGCTTGATAAAAATGGCATCACAAGCTCTCTGTGCTGGTGGTCCACGATTACGCTGCCTATGTGAGCAGTCTTGCTTCAGAAAAACTATACTAAATATTCGAAGATTTTGATAATTCTAATTGATTAGACAGATCATAAAATTACACTGGTGTAGAAGAAAACAAAACCTGTAATTTGGCAAGACAATATTGATCAGCCCAAACAAGCTTAGTGACTACAGCAATATCATCGGATCGCATTAAGAATCTTTCACATTCATCGATTACGAATTGAATTTCGAATTTATCACCAAGTTCCAGCAAAAACTCCACATTTTCAGCTGAAACATACTTGTATTCATCA